CTTTTTTTCATCGTGTATTTTCCTTTAGCCAATTTTTGGAGGTAACTACATAAAAGAAAAGGATTCACTCTTTCTTTTTGCTTTAAAATGTAGTAGTAACAATAACAATGGGACTCTTCCCTTAGAGAGAAGACAACTCTCTGGGCAAAAAACCTTAATTTCACACCATCAAAGGGCACCTCACATAACACACACAGTACAGATAAGTGCCTAAATGTTTCCATTCCTTTTTTTTTTCTTTTGAAGTGTTTCTATACATGTAAATATAATTTTTTTTTTCTTTTTATTCTTTTGTGAGCTTGTTTATTCTTTATATAAATATACATAATTTTTAAATGAATTTCTTTTAATTTGATATTATTTCTTTTTCTTCAGTGGAACTTCTCAATCTAAGCCAGTTGATATTAATCTCACTGCCTAATAAAAAACAGGGATATCAACTCTGACACATCTACCCACTAAAAATAACACACACACACATATATATATATATATATATATATATATATATATATATATATTACTCTTCAAATAAATTGAATTGAGTTCTCAGAGCCACTGGCTTATTTCGTATTGTGAAAAATGTTAAAATTCCCTTCCTTTCTGCTGTGCAACAATGGCGTAGAGATAAGATATCTGACTTATGTCAAATCAGTCGGGTTTTAATCCCGGCTTGAAGCAATCAGATGTCTAGCCACACTGAGGTGGTGTGATACAGCAAAGCAGTCTGTCTGTGGATGGCTATATATATATATATATATATATATATATATATATATATTTATATATATATTTATATATATATATATTAAAAAGAACCGGCAAGGCCTGTTTTTAATATTTTATTATATCTTAAAGTTCATATCTTATCTTTCTTCAAGTTTCAAATTTTTGGAACAAAATCATTCTGTGTTAGTGTTTTTGTTCACATGCAATTTGAGTAAGATATATTTAGCCAGCAAGTATTCATCAAAACAAGATTTCTATTTAGAAGTTGGAAACTTTGAAATATAATAAAAAAAAAAAAAAAAAATTAAAACAGACCCTATCAGTTCTTTTTAATCAAACTTGTTTGGATACTTGCTGCATATATCTTTCTATTAGATTCATTTACATTAAAAGTCTTTACCCTCATCAACAAGAAGTTGCGATTCCTTCTGCTACAAATTGGTGACCAACAGCAGCACCTTCATCTATAATAATCTGGTAGCACCTATTTCATTACAAAGTTGTTATCACTAACGTGATTAAGAAAATAAATTTAAAAAAAATTTTTTAAATTAATTCATTTGAATGCTAAGATGAAACATTTTTGATTAACATGTGCAGAAAAACTGCATAATCTGCACACATGGCTGCAGTAATCAAAAGATGCCATGGTTCATCTGGCTAAAAAAAAAAAAAAAAAACAAAGTTTAACATTTCAAGATTAAGGGTAATATGAGCAGCAACTTCCTTTCACCACACACCAACACTCAATCCAACATTTGCAAAATCCATGATACTCAATATTACTGATATCTATAAATAAAACAAGTACAAAATATACAAACAACTTCTTATATGCAAAGCCTAAAAACTGACATAGATATATTTCTTTAAAGCCAATCTTATTTCTTATTCAACAACACATGGTCTGGGAAATTATCATTGATAAGTGCTTGTTTCATGTTGCAAGTGTATCCAAAGAGAAAGCCATTTTTGTATAGATAATCAGGTATATATATATATATATATATATAAACACCTACTTTATATATGTGAGGAAATTTGCTTTTATAGTTAAATCATAATTTTTTTATCCTATCTAATATTTTGGGGTTTATATATTAAAATTAAAACTTAACAATGCAGTTCTCTCTCTCCCTCTCTCTCTCTCTCTTTCCTCACATATATAAAGTAGGTGTTTATACACACACACAGAGGGTGTTAAAAAAAATCTTAGATTTGGGGAATTGGCTTGGACTAACTAACCAAACATTGATTATTATTTTTTGTTTTGTTTTTTGATTGTGCTAAGAACTTTCCAGCACCCTCTCATATATAAAATTACATTTTATATATGCACAAAAACCATGGATTAAAACACACTCTCTCTGTGTGTGTGTGTGTGTGTGTGTGAGAGTGTATACAGAAGAATAAACACAAGGTTGACCAGCAAAAAGCCAAGAACAAGGAAATTCTCTTTTAGCACTTCCTTATAAGGCAAGGAGGTATATAAACTCCCCCTTCCTTTGACGTTTTTGTCTCTCTCTCTCTCTCTTCAAATGTAGTGGCATCATTCTCATCACCAGTTGGTTGGCAGCAAGAGAGTGTGTTTATAAATGCCAGTTGTTTATCAAATTTCCACTAAGTAGCTTTTCCTTCAAGAAGTTTTTTGTTTTTTGTTTTTTGACTCCTGTTTTCATTTTCTTTTTCTGGATTGTCACAATCTGAAATTCTGCAAAGGTTTAAATTTCTGCCATTTTGTTTTTAAATAACACTTCCAGCTTAATTCACTTTTGATTACCAGTATGGCAAGTAATTTGAAAATCATAAAATTTTATTATATATACACATATTTTTTATAAATATAGTTTCCTTTGCAAACAACATAGGATGACAAAATTTTTTTTTATTTATTATTTTTTTTTATTTTGCTGCCATGTATCTATCTAAAGGTTTTGGTTACTCCTGTAAACTTTGTGACAGTCAGAATGAATTTTAGTATTTTCATTTTTTTAATACTGGAAATAAACTGTAATAGATATATATATATATATATATATATATATATACACACACACTGGACTATTGTTTTCAATGTATGAGGATACAGCAGCTCAATTCTTAGAATCAAACATAATACCCACACATATGATTTGCTTATATAGTGGTGAATGCTTGTGCAGAATCAAGCATACAGAACTGGTGTACAGTGTTCCACAAGGTCTCCAAAACAACCTTTCTCAGGTTTTGAACTCTGTTATACTTCTCCTAGACTTATTACTAACCGAGGCTATAGGACACAGGTACAGGGAGAAAAGAGATAGATTTATATCAATCTCAAAGGTATTTGCATATAAGTGAATGCAGCAAATTTGACTGAAATACAAACTGTTCTTCAATTTCTCAATCCAAGCTGCTATCAATTACACCAGCAGATATATATATATATATATATATATATATATATATATATATATATATATATGTGTGTGTGTGTGTGTGTGTGTAAGGACAAAAGGGAAATTTCTTTTTACCAAAGCATTCTGTACTCTGATGGATTTTATCAAGGCAAATGTAAGAATTTTATTTTGCAACATGTATTCATAAACAGAAGTAAAATCATTAATTCTCAAAATTTTTAAATTTAAAAAAACTCAAAAAAATATTCTTAAGGCTGTGAAAGTCAAGGTAAACTATGGCAGATGCTAAATGACGTAATTTAACCTTTAGCACTGCCTTATTCACTACTTTCTATTGCATTGTTTTTCAAGGTCCTCTACTGCACTACTTAATTTCAGTCATGGTCATTTTCTGTTGCCATAGCAGGATATGACAACACAACTGCAAAATTTAGACACAATAATTCATTCATTCATCTGAGTCACTTGCAGTGGCAGGATAAAATTTTTGCTTTGCAAACAAAATCACCTCCAGAATGTTAAAGGTTAAACTAAAAAGAGTAAATATACACACATTATATATATATATATACACACACACACACACACACACACTGAATATTACTGAACATTTGAAATATCAAAACCATTAAATTTCAAGGCATATTTAGTTGATACAGCATTGATATTATGGAAATTTATTTTGGTGTTAATTGACAAAATAATATTTTCATTTAAATACTTAATAAGCATCTGGACTGTTCTTTTGTCAACTCTTACAAAAGTGAGAAGAGAGAATCAAAGTGAGAAGTGATAGTCCAACCCAATCCACCTGCTCATCATCATGAAGTAACAGTCAACTAATCTCTCAAACTATTGTAAAGATTTCCATCGTCACTTAGTGCTCTATACTGGAGGCTTCATGCCAGACTAATCTATCCTTAGTAAGTTCAGGTAACCATAAAAGTGTTGAGAATAGAGATAAGGTGGTCTTTATTTGAAGAGTTAGGGAACTGACAGCTATTTGTTCAGCAAGAGAAATCAGACTGAAGACATACAAATCATTGCTATTGATACAGCAAACACAATTATTAACAAGCAAGAAAAGAATAAGTTATTTGATAAAAGAAGAGAAATTTAATACAAGAGAAAAATTACTAGTAAACAAAAATATAAAAAAAATAAAGCCTCATAGAAAGTGAAAAGACTGTGCTGAAAAGTTATCAGAAACCTTTGAGGAAAAAAAAAAGTTTTGTTATATCAGTGGTTCCCAAAAAGGTGTGGCAAAAAAGGATAATTATTTACTGATTTTATCATTGTGATATTTTTACATTATATCAAGTATTAAGAATATAGTAATTAGGCACTGCAAAATGGAGGAGAGAGTTATCAGTGATAATGTTCTGACTTGAAATCCGCAGTTATCTCCCTTTAACTCTCTCTAGGCCTTTTTGCCATAAGGCTGCTTGTTACTTTTCACCAGGGCTTTCCTTTCATGAGACCAGCAGCAAATTTTCATTCTGAAAAGTTTCAAAATCACTAGGTAATATGGTCAAATTTTGGTAAGTGGGTTAGGTCCAAAACTTTTCAGCACTGTGTGTGTGTGTGTGTGTGTGTGTGTGATAGATTTGTTTGTTTTTTTTTACAGCTTAGCAATCCTTTTAAATAATTTAAAACCAGGAAACATATTTAGATTGTAAGAATTTTTTTTTACAAATAACGATTTTACTGATACATATCCTACTAATTAATCCATAGGTGGTGAGGAAAAGAGGTGGATTCATATCTTTCCCAAAGGTATTTGAGCATAAGTGAACCTGACTGGAATTACAACTCTGTTCTTTGATTTCCAACTCCAAGCCATTAACCATTACACCTCCAGCAAATCCAAGTTTACAGCACCTAGTATCCCCAAGCGGTTACCCACCTAAGCACTGAACAGGCTCAACATTGCTTAATTTCAGTGATCATATGAGAACCAGTGTTTTAACAAGATGTAGTCATAAGCGCGTGTGTGTGTATATATATATATATATATATATATATATATATATATATATATATATATATATACATACATACATACATACATATATATATATATATATAATGCTTGAACAAGTTCTTCAAGCCATATACAAGGTGAGACAAATGTCCTGTGCTATAGGCATTAATTAATCATGCTTTAAATGTGTTATAGGTCCTCTTTGAGTGGTCACCAAGGTCACCAGATTTGGATTTTTTTTCTGTGGGGGTCATTTAAAATCAGTTGTTGATCAGACACACCCATGAAATATTGAAGAATTTAAAGGAAGAATTAAACATGAATGCAGTGAAATGACAGAGGGAACTCTCTGGCGTGTCAATAAATCATGCAGCCACAGAATTGAAATGTGTTTTGAAAAAGGAGGACAACATTTTGAACAGCACATATAACAATTAAAAGTAACGAGTAAATAAAATTTTCATGTGTAAATATACTTTTAATAAATTATCCCTATGATGCACAACTTTCGCCTCACAGAGTGTGTGTGTGTGTATATCATCATGACAGGCATTTTCATTGTGGAATTCTTAGCATGTGTCAAAGGAAGGACAATTGCCTTGTCTCAACAACATACTAATGCAGCCATCAAGAAATAGTTGACATTACTTTTTGGTGCAATGGGGGGGGCACTGCTTGAGAGATGGATCTCCAGGTATATATATATATATATATATATTTAAAATGGTTTTCCATAGCAGTGCATTTAAAAACAAAGTTTATAATTTTTGCCATGTACTATGGGAACTATACTATCTGCCATGAAATTTTTCATCTATAAAAAAAAAAGGGGGGGGGAATTATATTCGTGGCTACTGAAAAATGTTGGCCTGATTGGGAGTGGGAAGAATCCTAATTTTTTTCTTATTTCAAACTTTTGACAGCATGAGCCTCTCTTCAGACAAAAGTCATGAAAACCTGTCAACTTGATTAATCCGTAACCAACCAAAAAGATATACAAAACTAACTGCCAAGGAGAAAGGTCAAATTGCTTTTAAATTTTGACCCCAAACTCACACCACTTTGGCTGGAAAGATTTCATCATTTTAAGCTTTTTAAAGGCAAGCAGAAATCACTGCTATATTTAAGTAAAAATTACGGCAATTTGCAAATATTTAAAAATTGGAAACTGTGGAGAGCCATAGCTTTAGAAAAAAAAACTTTAAAATTATGGCTTTGAGCTTTTTGTGGATGTCCTATAAAAACACCTAAGAATTTGGAAACTGAGGCTGCTTCTGTTCACTAAACATGTTTTGGGGAAAGAATGACTTCATTCAATCCAATTGCCAGCTCACAGGACATTTTCATGGCAAGGGTCAAAGAAGGAAACAGAGTAACCTCCCAAAAATGTTTATGTAAATGGATGGCAGAACAGAAAGTGGAAGGGAAATTAAAGAAAGCTACAAAGGATAGGAAGTTATGGAGAGCCATGATTATCCATGTCCTGAAAAAAAATAAACAGTGCATAAAATGTCATAAAGGTTGACATTAAAGACTGTGACACAGTAAAAAAACTGCTATACATCATCTGCCTTGACCAGTTACTCAAATGTTTTGTAAATTTTAAACCTGACTAAAAATAAAAAAAATCCACCTTTTGATTATTTTTTTTTACATTTCTACAATAAATTCTAATGAATTTATTGTAGAAATGTAATTTTTATTCTTGATAGCTTTGCAGAAAAATGTGAATTTTCCTTGCACAAACCAATAAAACCAACAAGTGAAAAGACAGTGTAATTAACAGTGTAAATTCGAAATTCAATTTCATTTGCATGAATCACAGACAACATGCAAATATTTCACACACAGCCACTTGAATTCGGCCAACAGAGATCATTTTACTCATTGTAAATAAACAATATTGTGAAGATTTGAAAACCTGTGAAAATCTATCTGGATAGGTGGGAATAAGAGAGCAAATGAACACCTACACAAAGGTCCTTTCACTCAAAATGCACAATTTCAAAATATAGAAACAGTATTGAAGGAAGGGAGAAATTTTTTAAAAAATTATTAAAAACAAAAGCCCTTAAAGAACAGTGAGAAACACAGAGAGAAGAGAGCAGGGAATTAAAAAAAAAAAAAAAAAGAAAGAAAAAAAAAGGGTATTAAATAAAATGAGGAAATGAACCTCACACCCACCTGCCAACAAACCACTAAAAAAACCATTCCCAGCAGCTGTGATTGAAGGCCACCAGTCTGACTCATAATCAACCCCATCACCAAATGTTTTGGCTGGTTTCAATTTTAATTTACTCGCAATACCAAAGTAGAGTAATGAATTGCATCTCAGACTGAGCAATCAGAGAGCCAAGTTCGAATTTCAGTTAAGTTCATTGTATTCACTTATGTACTAATACTCTTGGAAAAGCTATGAATCCACCCCCACCTCCAGCTTTGGGTAAATAGCAGGACAGACAATTTTATAGCCTTGGGTGGCATCTGATCTAGGAAAAGGAAAACTCTGTATTCAAAACTATGTAGCCCTTGCAAAGCAGATACTATGCAGCTAAGGAAAGGATCATTCGCATTTACTCAGTGATCCTGACTACGGTCAACTCCTTAACAGACTGAGTGGCAACCAGTCTAAGAGAAGGAATACTCTGAATTCAAAACTGTATGTAACCCTGGTGAAGCAAATACTATGCAGCTGAGGAAAGGATCGTTCACGTTAACTCAATGATCCAGAGTACTGTCGATGCCTTTTTTTTTTTTTTTTTTTAAATTTCATTAAACTGAGCTGTGTATTTATAGGAAAATATATTTCATGAAATGGACAAAGTCCGACAATTATTTTAAGACATTTTTATGTTTATACATTCTTTTTAGTAAATGCTCTGTTTTTTTTTGTTTTGTTTTTTTTATAATAAACAGTATTAAACAACATTTACCGGTCTGAATGTTTGAGAAATTTTCACATAATATTGTTTATTATTAAAAAAAAATCTCCCATTCACCTGTGCATTGAATATTGCTGCCATATCTGATCTGGTGCTCCTACTATATATCTTGAAATTCTTGACAAAATTCAAAGGGTCTGTGATGTAATCAATCCTGACCTGGCATTTTGACTTCAATAGCTTTCACACTGACATGACTGTTTGCTTGGAGTGAAAGTGAATGCATGTATTTATTACTTTCCCTTGTCCTTGGTCTTAAAGGGAGTGTACTGAACAGAAAACCAAAAACAATTTTTTTTTTCTTTTTTGCTCTTGACCTTGAATTTTCATATGTATTTTCATGAAAACCCTAATGTCATTCCATAACCGTAGCTTATTTACTTTGTATTTTCTTTTGAGGTTTCCATGCTGTTGTGGTAAACCCTCCTACAATAGAATGAACTCTTCCTCCTATCATAAATACAAACTGCGAGAGTCGGATAGAGTGTGGAGTGGAGTAGTAGACGCAGTACTAATCTACTTATTACTAACACTATTGTTTTGTATATATCTTCAATATACTTTTTCAACCTATCATCATCTTATTGTCTTTCTCTCTGGCCCCTAAACAGGCTACAACACATATATTAATATTACCCACATATGTTCAGAAAAAATGATCAGAAAATGAGGATAAAAAAATTTATAATGAAAAGAAAAACAAAGAAAATTAAAATAGTTTTAGCCTAATCAAATCTTTACTGAATTATTTAAAGCTCAGACAACTTTGGCTGAGGGAATAATGGTAATGGGGGGGACACAAATTCTATCCCAATTCAATCATGTCACAAACATCATTCAATAGAGAATGAAAGGTTTTATTAAAATAGCTTATAATGCAGAGTAGGAAACATTTGAATGAAGGATTACAGCCAAAAAGATTATATTCTGATTGTAGATTCAAAGCCATTTAATTTACCTGTTTAACTCATTTGATACTTGAATAGAAGGCTTTCAAATCCAATATTTTTAAAATTACTGAGTACTTAAAAATTACATAAGAAAGCATTCACCTGTCATTTTCTTAAATTATGTTTTTACAGATAAGACCTTAGAACAATAATAAAAGTGTCAGCACCTTGTCAAGTGATTTACAAGGTGTTGACAAGCACTTAATCACGCTATTGTTTGTTTTAAAAATCCATTTCTCTTATTTTAAACTTAAAGTAAATAATTTTTTTTTCCAAATCATATTAATTATACTTTAAATCAGCTAATATTCCTTAAATAAAATTTAAGAAAAGTATATTTTATTTTTGGAAGATTTTTAAAACCAAGAATTAAATTGTTTATAAATGTGTCAAAAATGGCTGAATTTAAACGATTTCTGAAAGCGAGCAAAAAGTTGAGATTTTAATCAATATAATTTCTATTTGAAATACACTAAAGTATTTTGCTTACTGGAAATAGTAAATGTAATCATTTAGCTTTCAATTAAAGCTAAAATGAAAGCTTCAGGAATGATATTTCATTTTAAACCAAGGTATTAAAAAGTGAATGGAGGTGCCGAACTTATTGAGTCACTTACTGATCCACCTGTGTTACCCTTATTGACCCACCTTTTGAGCCTTCTAAAGGTTACTTCTATCTGCATTTTGTTCCTATATATATATATATATTAAATGTCATTTCAGAAAAAAAAATTGATTTTCAACTTTGTGTACTAATAAGTTTATATAGAAACAAAAATGTTTCCATATGATAAAGGTTAAAAAACTTTTTCATTATCTTAAAAGGATTGCTGTTAAATAAGATAAAAAACAAATACAATGAAGTGACTTACCAACAACCATTAAGTTGAATTCAAATCCTCTCTTGACCGATTTGCGGTATACCTGATTGGGTAGATTAGCAAAACCTACATAGTTCTCCAATTCTTTGTGGCCCTCCCGATGGTGCTTTTCGTTGCGGTCGTTGTCCACGTCTTTGCTGATTATGTCACGCTCGCGAGCACGTTCTCGATCCATGCCAAACCGTGCACTTGGGTCAAACTTAGGTGGGGTTTCATTCTTGAAGAATGCATCGCGTTTGGCTGCATTTAGCTGCAAAGAAACAAAAGAAAATAAATTTATTAGGATTTCACAAAAACTGACTGAGAAAAAAAAAAAAATACATTGTTTAATTGGTAAAAAAATAAAAATCAATGCTCTTGACCTCACATTTTTACATCTATAATTTTTGCCATTTTCCAGTAAATTTTACAAAAGAGTCAAATTTTTTAAAAAAGGGGACATAAAATATATATATATATATATATTTTTTTTTTTCATTAATCACCCCCTTCCTGATGTTGACACAAAAAGAAGAAAATATTAGGTTTAAGGTTACAAGTTTTAGTCCTGTGATTATAGCCTAGAGGATTAAAGTGTTGGTTTATGAATTTGATGACAGTAATTGTGAGTTCAATCCCTGGTCTAGATAGTACAGACAAACTCCATGGAAACAAGATGAGCAATGACTGAGCAATACTAAATACAAGACTGTAGATTAAATAAAGGGTTTAGTTTGAAATTCCCTGAAAGTTACCCAGAGCAAAACAGCCGAAACATTGTGATAGTAACAACAAAGATATACTTGCTTTGAATGTCAAAGTTACCAACTAACAGTTTTTATTTTATTTTATTCACTAATGTTCACTCAATACAAGGCCCAAGAGTCACTCAAGGTAGGATGTTATTGTGTGGTACTGTATGAACATAAGAAAAGGCAAAAAGTGCAGTGATTGAGAAAACATCCTGTCATGAGTCTGTTCCACAAAGCAACACTACTTGGGAAGACAGTGACCAAGTGGAGCATTAAGGGAATGAGGATGATTTATTCTTGCATACATGGCATGCGCAAGCTACAAAGTTCTGGACTAGTGGTATAATAGCAAGAAACTAAGTATTCTCAAAAATGGTTGGCCTACCAAGGCTAAAAAAAAAACTAATCTACACTACCCTACCATTTCACCCACTGTCAGAAGAGGCAGAGATAGTTCTTGAGAGAAAAGTTGTTTTGAGTAAAACTTCCTCCTTATAAATGGAATACAGAGGAACAGTGATTCAACTTCATGAAAGTAGCATGGCATGTCTGAGATATAAAAGGTCTGAACTAGTGGGACTAAAGAATGGAACTCGTGAACATTTGCCATGGAAATAGCAATAAAGTTGAGACATTGCATCTGTGGGCAAAGTGGCTGCAAAGAGGAGAATAAGTCTTCCCGCACGAGATCATGTAAATGGAATGTGTGTAACAAACTTCACAAGATTTTGTGCTCAAACCTTCTATCCTCTTTAAAAGTCTAAACATTTCAAACACTGATTGAACCAGTCCTACTGTATGAATCATAAAGTTGGACATTATCTGTTTCTCTTGAAAGACAACTGGATGGAACATATACAAATCTGCTTAGAAAAAAAAAATCAGTTGGAGATCCCATGCAACACTTAACACAATTTATAGAGAACTGAAACCAATCTCTCTTAAGCCCAAACAAATGAAATTACAGTTTACTGGCCACTGCCACCAAGTGGACGAGAAGATCATTTTATCCTTCCTTCTATGGCATACTTCTGGAGATGTCTTCATGAAAGTTGACATACCCAGATGGCTCAGGACTCAGGGTTGGATATTGAGGATGGCAATGCAGAGGTCAAAGGATGTTGATAAAATGATTTTGAACTCTAGATATGATGGCAAAACTTAGGTTTCAATCTAATCTGATACTTTCAAAGATAAAGCATGGCAGAAGTCAGGTACTTACTCAACTGATAGAATGAGTTGACCATTTTTTCAGCATTTTTTTTTTTAAATGTAAGTGAGGTAAATAAAGTAAGACTTATTAAAAGGCCAACACTTACATTTTGGTTATCTCTATAATTAAGTCATATCATACAGCAGAGACGAACAGCCATCTCTAACAAATATGCCTAAATTACTGATTTGTAGACAAGATAAAAACTGTTACCTACATAGAACTCTTTTTTAAAAGAGGGAACTTTGGTAATTTCAGAAGTGAATTTATAAATTAGCTTCCCTACCTTAGTGATCAAAGATATGAGTTGAAATGATGAGAAGTGGATATATTTGAATGCAGGCAAGAAGCCAAAACAAGACAAAGATAAGAAAAAAAAAATCTCCCAAATAAAATCAGACTCTCAAAGAAGTGAATATATACTGTGACTACCTAGAAAATAATCAGTCAAATATTACATATATAAAAGAGGGTGCTGGAATGTTATCAGCTCCAACCAAGAATGGATTCCCCCAGAAAAATCTTTTAAAAATTATCTTTTTAGCCAGATTTTGAAAAGTGGGCCAGGCCAAGAACTCCTCTCTAACACACAGATATTTTTTTGACACTCAGAGCTGAATGAGAAAAAGAGAGAGAATGAATAGAGAGAGTGTAAGGAGACAAGACTAGGATAAAAAAAGAGAAATCACCATTTGATACGTATGCACATACATGTCCACAAACACAGAGAAAAAAAAATCAACCTAACACCAATAATAAGAGCATAAATTAATTAAATCAAACTTAGTATAAAGTAAAGTTTGTCTATGAAACTCTGAAGTCAAGGTGCTGAATATATATATATATATATATATATATATATATATATGAAGAAATAGTTTTAAGGTGTACTATATTTATGGGATAAAGTGCTCAATATCAGAGAGAGCATATGTAAATATAAAAGTGAGCATTGAAGTCAACACTCAGAGGCGACAGACTGTTTCATGCTAAACACAATCATCAGGTGGTCTGATGATTGCGGTTAGCATGAAACAGACTGTCATCTCTGAGAGTGTGTGTGTGTGTGTGTGTGTGTGTGTGTGGGGGGGCACATGACTGAGTAGTTAGAACGTTCACTTTCTGACCATGAGACCGGGTTTTGAATCTCAGCATGGTTAATTTGTCAGAAAAGTGACTTCTTGATGTTATCAGGTTGGAGGAGGTGATCCCAGCATGTGGCACCTTTGGAAACCTCTGAAAATCACACCACAGATTGACCCAAGCCTTGTGAGTAAAATTGGGTAGATGGAACCCTTGGGAACTGTCAGTGGTTGTGCTAACATGAAGTCACATGTCATCGTAACCGAGGATTTGAGTCTGCTAGCCTTGTTCAGACTGCTGATCACGTGCTCTCCCCCAGAAACTGTAACTAAGGTTCGCTCAGCACCACTGCAGTATAAATCACAGATGGGCTCTGTGGGTGTTGAACAAACACAAAATGTGTCTGCAATGGTGATTAGTTAGCCTGGCATCCTCAGATTCAAGTGGATGCACCATTTAATTTTTTAATTTTTATACATCTGCGCCATAATGAAATACTAAGTTGGAAAACAAAAATGATCTTAGAAGGATTAAACAACATCTGTCTAAAAAGATTCTACATGTATTTTTTTCTCCTTCTATATTCTTGTTTCTATCAAATAAACCAAAATTTTATTTTTATTTTATAACAAATATTTAAATTTTTTGCATGAATCCAGATTATTACAAGTTCAGCAAAATTCAATAAACAATGAAAGAGTGTGTCATTGTTATCAAAAGGATTTAAATGGTTTGAATAACCTTTTGTTAGTTCTATGCTGTCAAGCAGTTTACAAACAAAACCTTTTAACAGTCATACAACATTTGATTCTCAATTCTATGTGTTAGTCATACAATTTCTAAATTCATGGAAATAAGTGAATGGGTCTAAAGATGTAAAAGGTCATTGACCAATTACTTTGATTCAGCAAAAGGAACTTTTATCATTTTTGACAACATTTAAGGAGTTTTCATTACCAGAGAAATGCATTGTGTAGAACAAATATCAAATTACTACTTAAATTGGGAATGTGAATTTAATCAACATTCATATGTTACTTTGAAGAATTAGATTTTATTTCTGTGTTGATTACAAATATGACCAGCAATGAATTATCCACTCTTCAACATATATCTAATTTTACAATGTCTTCATTGTGTTTTTTTTTTTCTTTTTATAGATGTTTACACTGAATTGCCATTTTAACCTTTAGCACTCTCCATTATTAATATTATATACTTCTTTTTCTACTGCATTCTTTTTCAAGGCCTCTCAATTGCAGTAACCTTATTAAAATAACTATTAAGATGTTTTCTGTTGCTATAGCAGGATATGACAACTATGAATTTCAAACAAATTCAGGGATCAGAGTCATATTCAATGGCAGAATAAACTTTTTGCACAACAAATAAAGTCACATACAGACTAATAAAGATTAAATACAATTGTTATTTATATTTATTCATACTGTACTACCTACCTAGCTCTGGTATACATTATGTGCAAAAGGCTTGACCCACATGAAAAGATCAAAGGTGTAAATGAGTTATAAAACTGAAGCCTGTCTTTCTTGTCACCTTCATTTTTTTTTAAACTTTTCTCAAGCTTTCTTAATTCCCTTCTCCAAATTTCTCCCAAAAAGTTCATAACATACACACACATTTTATCATATAAGAATCAATGGATTTATTTTTAATCTGATATTTTTATTACACTAAACACAATTTTTAGTAGAAAATGCTTAAAATAAAAGGCATCAATTTCAAACATGGCTATCCACTAAAAATAAGATTTGAAGTTTTATAGAAGGTAAATTGATTAAATTGATGACAAAGTAAAAAAAATTCTGTTGTCCTTTAGGACTTCAATGGAAGAAATATCACAAAAAATTTTTTCCACTTTTCCATTAATTTACCTAACATTGTTTTATATAATTAAAATGTTCCTTTGTCTTTACTCAGTTTCATAGAATTTCCAGCCACTTGTCATAGGGAATTGATTAAAATCATTTCATAGTGACTTTACTATTAAACCCACTGATGAGTGGATGCAATTTGTTATTTACTATTAATGTTTTATTTCTTTTTATTGAGTATATATATATATATATATATATATATATATATATATATATATTACACACACACTTGAATCTTACAGTGATCATA